GAACGATTGCAAACACAAAACACCCAATTGAAACCATGTTCATGTTTGGCTCCAGAGTTTCAGTGATGGCCTCAATGCAACCTCGCGTGTAGATATCTTTGTTTACCTCAACCACTGAGCTAATGTTTTGCATGTTGAAGCCACACTCGATATTAATGAGACCCGACTGTAAAAAAGATAATTAGAAAAAAACATAGATTCTGGTATTGCGAAAGTAATTACATCAAAGTTTCGGGGATTTCGGCAACATGAATACGGTACGGCACATCGCTCTCTGCTTGGGTTTACATCATTGCATTCAAAGTAAATGTTCTTTGACCTTGGGAGATGAAAAAAATGAGTTTAAAGTTGAAATTATTATTTAAAAACGAACCAATCTTNTACATCAAAGTTTCGGGGATTTCGGCAACATGAATACGGTACGGCACATCGCTCTCTGCTTGGATTTACATCATTGCATTCAAAGTAAATGTTCTTTGACCTTGGGAGATGAAAAAAATGAGTTTAAAGTTGAAATTATTATTTAAAAACGAACCAATCTTTGTATCCTTTATCAGAAATTCCACAACAGCGGAATTCGGTCTGAATAACGTCAATTATATTCTGCAAGTTTGGATCGTCACGATACTTGATGATAGGATCACGAGAAAGTCCTTCTTTGATGTGGTATAAAAACGAATTGGGAAACATAAAAGCCATTGCTGAGATTACAACTTCTCCGATGAATAGAAATAAAAGCATGGTTGAGTACTGAAAGGAAAACAGGCAAACTCCCGTTAGTGAATTATTTTTTTACAAGCTAACAGTACTTACAAGGTTTAGTAAAAAGAGATTCTCTCTGAGCGCTCCGATACATCCGGCAAAGCTCATTAAAAAGACAATGGATCCAAGGACAATTATTGCAAGGGATATGTGCAGAATAACGTCAAAAACAGTGCGCACACTTATCAAAGTGTCATTGTATTCCTCCAAAAAAGACCACGCGCCAAGGGTGATGAGTAAACAGCCGGCAAGCTGATTCATGTATGAATAAAATATAGTGAAACAACAGTAGAACAACTATAATAGGCTGACTTACCCAGACGATTAGGTTGAAGAAAAAGAGGAAATATTTAACATAAGGTGAGATAAAGCTAAAGTTTTCATCAAACTGCTCAAAATGGAGAAATTGTGCAAATCGTGAGTTGGGATTGAGTGGGCGTGATGAAGGTCGCCTCTGGCGACGGCCATTGGCTGGTTGCGTTGATGAGTGACTGCGCGACATGGTGGAAGCCTCAAAACCCACTGGAGATCATCAAATGAAGGCACCAAAGTGCAGGGCAGGAAGGTGAAGGCTGGCTCACACTGGCTAACAACGGGCAGTGGCCACCACCGAAACGCATCAGCTTCCTCGAGCTGGTTCGCAGATTGCTGTACACTTGGGCTCAAAGGTGATGCTCAATGTGTGGTCTGGGGGACATGCTGGCGGACCTGATCTGATGACCTGACCTGACTGGGCCTTACTGTGAGGTATACTGTGGTTGCTCGTGCCAGGTGATGCCTCACTTGCCAGCAGTCTGCCCAGTGACTCGAGCAGATGAGCACAACAAACGGAGTGACGTCACAATGGGCAGACTGACAGACTGGCGACGGCGGAACACTGCTGCACACTGCCACTGCTTCCAGACGCACTGAACGGTGCATGCTCTTCTGCGCGCACTCCGCTGATCGGCAGCTTTGATGATGATGATGCTGATAGAGTGGTGAAGCCACTGAAGTAATCGCCGCTCCACTTTGACGTTTCAACTAGTCACTGACTACTGGACAGCAGTAGCCACAATTGAGAACAATGGTAGTAGGCAAACAAATGAAAGAGAGAAAGGACTGGGAGGCAATTTAATTTATTGTTGAAAGATCCAAATGGCAAGGAAAATTACACACAGACATTACTGAAGGAAACTGTATTGCTCTTGGCCGCCGCCGCCGCCTGTCTACATACTTGCGGGCCAATGGGATATGTCAGCAATCATAGTGCAGAGGAATATTTAAAAAATCNCACTTTGACGTTTCAACTAGTCACTGACTACTGGACAGCAGTAGCCACAATTGAGAACAATGGTAGTAGGCAAACAAATGAAAGAGAGAAAGGACTGGGAGGCAATTTAATTTATTGTTGAAAGATCCAAATGGCAAGGAAAATTACACACAGACATTACTGAAGGAAACTGTATTGCTCTTGGCCGCCGCCGCCGCCTGTCTACATACTTGCGGGCCAATGGGATATGTCAGCAATCATAGTGCAGAGGAATATTTAAAAAATCTGGACAACTACAGAGGACTGATGTTTGGTTTTTGTTGTTTGTTGACTTGGATAAAATAAATTAAAAATATTGGAAAAGGCAGAAGGGTAGGTGATTTGCGTGAACCAGTGTGTTGTTGAAAAATAGGACGTCGCGTGCTCTTGGTGTTTGTACTCAGGAAAGGGCGCTCTTTAAGAAGTGCTGGCGACTATAAAAAAGAAGAGTTAGCATTTTGGACAGTTGGAAAAGCTCGCTCAAACACGGAGTTAGTTGAAAAAAGAAGTTATATAGAGATGGAGGATAGAAAAGTTGAATAAAAGATAGTCAAGCTGATTCGAAAGAGGACAAGCTGAGAATCAATCAGAAAAGGAAGCTAGTGGACAAAGAGTTAATTGAGTCAACATCATGAGAAAGCGTTAGTAGCAAAAAGAAAGTGGAGCTAGCTACTAGAGTTGAAAACAAAAACAAGCAAAGAACAGCAAAGTGGCTTTAAATAAAAAGGGATACTTTACCAATGATGATTATAATAATGACGATCAAGATAATGGCAAGGATCAACATCAACTACGATGGGATTGAAATTTGTCCATGCAAATAAGTAATTTAAGTTGAGAACAAACCATGTGATAGTGCAAAAAATAAAAAGGATAGTTAGAAAACGTAAAAACAAACTCAAATTACAAGAATAACCAAAATCTAACTTATAAAGCTCTTCTTCATCAACTCTCTGCTATAATTGTCTAGAATTGTAAAATATACCTTGATATTCTTCCACCAGTATTTGCGCTTTAGCTTTCCGGCTTGTTGCTCAAACTGACTAGCTCCCTGTTGCAGAGCATCGGCTCGGTCGTCCAGTTCTGAAAGTTTCTGATCACGCTCGAGAACCTTTTCAACATTGGTTCTCATAATACCTAAAAGAAATATTATTGTTATGTTTAGAATGCATTGGAGTGTCAAATGGATCGTGTAGAAAGCACGCTTTCACTGCAATTTCCAAAAGTGCGCTTACCAACAACTTCATCAACCTGCAAAGAGAAAGATAAGCAGTTAATACGCGGCAACAGATAAACAGCTTAGTTTTATGAGTAAGCAAGTACAAAGACTGAGCTTTCTTACTTGAGCCTGGGTTTGCTGCAATCGCTTAGACGATCCTGAATGTTGGTTCGACATTTCGTCTGGTGGTTGTTGTTGTGCTGAAGGCTAAAAAGAAAACCTGGTCAAAGTGGATTGTTTTGAGCAAACAGTGACAAGCCTACTGAGGAGGAAGCAACTGGGTGGTGATTGGAAGTAGTAGTGGTGGTGGGGTAGAAGAGCTTTGACAGGGAGAGGGCGGACAACGGCTGAAAGAGATGTCACCAAAGAGAGGTTAAATGCTGAATGCCGAAATGTGACCGGTGTGCTTGTGTGTGTTGTGGGAAGAGCAGGTGAGCGGGTGACGGTGGAAAGGTGACAGGCACAGTGGGAGAGTGGCCAAGGAAGACAACAAGTACGAGAGGGAGAGAGAGAGACGACTAACAAGTGATTGCGCTCAGCGCCGACCATCAACTGCGTTCATAGTTGCGGCAGCAGCAGCGACGGATGCGCCAGCACCACACAGCAATGACTCACTTATTACGCCCTGGAGGCGGCGATTCAGACGGCCTCTGGTTTGGGTTAGCTTGTTCCTGGACGGTCGTACCACGCCACCGCCACCACCACCAGTCTCTCTCTTTCTCTCACTCTCCGCTTCTCTGGCAGCTTGTAACCTGTCGCCAGGTTTCACCGCGCACCAAACACTGCCCGAGTGACGTCAACAGGCGCACAGCAGGTAGCGGTACCGTTGTGACACCGTTGACGACGATCAATTAGGCGCCGGCGAGCGCAAGGGCGACTAAAACAGGGAACAAANAAGCTTGTTCCTGGACGGTCGTACCACGCCACCGCCACCACCACCAGTCTCTCTCTTTCTCTCACTCTCCGCTTCTCTGGCAGCTTGTAACCTGTCGCCAGGTTTCACCGCGCACCAAACACTGCCCGAGTGACGTCAACAGGCGCACAGCAGGTAGCGGTACCGTTGTGACACCGTTGACGACGATCAATTAGGCGCCGGCGAGCGCAAGGGCGACTAAAACAGGGAACAAAAACTTGAAAATAAACTCACCTGAGTGGCTGCTCCATTTGTATCAGCTTTGCCTGGTTGCGACTCCATTCGGTGTTAGACTGGCTGAGGTTGATGCTGCTGGCCGACACGCAAAAAGTGCCGTGTTCAGCTCGTCTCTTTTACTTTCTACCGTGCAATGGGCCATTGTGTGTCTCCTACAAAGGTGTGCAATAATTAGTCAAATGATTGGCAAAAAGACTAGAAGAGCGCTTTTTGTCAGCGAAAGGATGAATTTACAAAATAGATTTGACTTTATTTTATACGTCATTTGCGAGAGAAACTGTGTTTTGTTTGCTTAGTTTTTTTGGTTGTTGTACAGCTGACAACACCGCCCGTCAGTCACCGGTTTGTTCCACCAGTTCTTGGTTTGTAATTCTTCAAGCACCGAATCCGGCATCATGACGTTTGCCGAGTTTATCGGTTGCACTCTGATCTCCTTTGGGCCAGCCTTTGCCATCTTTTGCCTGGTCGTGACAAAAGACCCGATTCGAATCATCATCATGATCTCAGGGTATGATAACATGGGTTTTGCCACTTTTGATATAAATTTTGATGTCTTTTTCAGATCATTCTTTTGGCTTCTTTCACTGCTTCTCTCATCGATCTTATGGGCCGCTGTGGTGCCCTTGAAAGAATACCTGATTTTTGCTGTTACATTTTCAGTCATTTTTCAAGAGGGTTTCAGATACTTGTTCTACCGCATTTTACGGTAATTGTTCATTCATGTGTAAACCAATTCATCATATTTAATTGCAGAAAAGCTGAATACGGCCTTCAAAAGGTGTCCGATGTTGGAACAAAAGGCGGCTCTCACCAATCTCGGAGCCAGCTTGCCTTAGGTAGCAGTGGCTCTTGGCTTATCAAAGCTGTCTTGATAATGACGGTTCACTTTCTCTCTAGTTTCTGGCCTAGGATTCGGGGTGATGAGCGGCGCCTTTTCCATTACCAACATTCTCGCAGATGCTGCCGGCCCCGGGACAGTGGGCATCAACGACGACTCGCAGTTCTTTTACCTCTTTTCAGCTTTGACCACACTTTGCTTTATACTTTTCCACATTTGCTGGACTGTAATTCTCTTTCATTCCTGTGACCACAAGAAGCATGTGATGACTTTATATGTCCTATTATCTCACCTTGCAGCGTCCTACATTGTAAGATCACTTTATTTTATATCCATAACTAATCTCCCACTCAATTTTGCAGACTTTTTTGAACCCCAAGCCAAAGCAGCTGTACGCCGTATCCATTCCACTAGAGTTTGTTTTGCTTTTTGTTACTGGAGTTTTTGCGTTGAAATGTGCTGGTTTTAATTTTCAACGAGCACAAGCCCAAAGAGCTGACGCTTTGTAAAAAGCATCTCCATGACAATTTTGTACATAGTTTACCAAAATAAGATAACATGTTGTTTTTGTGCTGTAAAATAAATACTTTTTACTTTTTTGCAGTTTGAAGCGTACAATTTCATTTCCATAGCAACGGCTTGCAGACTGTTGTAGTTTGCTACTTGAAACACTGGATCTGCTTGGCACCAGAAAGTTTGTGATTCACAGTAAACATTCATCTCGTCGAGTTTCACCATCACAGAAAGATGCCAGCGGACCAAAGTGATCTGAAGCCAATAATCCCCAGTCAGCACTTGGTGGTGGTGGAGGAAAAGCCGTACTTTGTGCTGTGTAAGCCGAAGCTGCTGCCGCTGAAATCGATTGCCCTGCTCAAAGTGGAAAGCATCCAACGTGATGCCGAAGAGAAGATACGAAAGTTCTCGAAAACACCCGGTAGTAGATAGAAACAATTTATTAATTTGCATACAAGTGTGCTACAAGAAGGGTAGGAAGAGAGTATATGCAAAACACCGGTCTAAAACACACCCCCGTCGGTTGAATAGTGAAAAGAGTAGGCAACAATTGAACATTTGATTTGACGTGGCTGAACATGGTGGCGCCCATTGGCGCCAGTACAAAATGGCTTTTGTATCGACAATAAAATAAAATCCGTATTGCTAAAAGGCGTTGAGTAAAAAGGATGACAGTCGGCTTGATTGCAATATAACAAAACAGAGTGAGAGAAGCAGGAGGGAGGGTCGTGAATACGAGAGAGAGAGAGAGAGAGAGGTGTATCACAATGAACCAACAGAATGAAGGGCCAACTTGTAGGGATGTCGTGGAATGTGTGTAATGTGTTTTCTTTGCACTGGTCAGCACTTGTTGCGCTCAAAGGCACTATATCAAACTATTGTTCTGATTGACCCAGCTCGAATCGGCAGAGTTTGGTGGATTGTTGTTGATGGGAGATGTGGGATTGGCTAACAAAGTATGCACTATTAGGGATGGAAAGCACAGACTACAGTCAACTGGCAAAGTACTCACACTTGGGGGCCAGACTACCAAACTGATCAAACAGATTGCTTGAAGCAGCTACCTTGGGGGAGGGAACCAGTCCTGGAGGGCTCGAGTTGGCCAGCTGGTTGATCGTGGGCACGGACGGCTTTGCACTCTTTGTGTCTAGTATATTGTCAAAGTTCATGTTGATCTTTAGATTGCTCCAGGTATCACCTGCGAAAGAAAGGATGCGCTGTGTAATGGTAACGACTGCTGTAACCGACTCGAGACTGACCTATTTTATGCGGGGCAAAAGTGGCGGGAGTACACTCGTCGGCAGTGTTGTTCTTTGGCAAGTTGCCGACCGAGGAAACGGGTACCAGAGGAGTTGGAGACAACAGTTGAGGCATTATTAGTTGAGAGGCCGTATTATTAGGGGCCTGTGGCTGCGACATGAAGGGATTCATAGCTGCAAAGGAGTTGGCGTTGGAGCTGAAAGGGTGACTCGAGTCACTGTTTAGCAGACTGCTCGCTCCAGAAGCAGGCGAAGCGAATGCACTCTGAAAGTCAGTAAAGTCGTCTGCATTACTGTTTGCACTGTCAAACTGCGAAAAGTCGGCAAAGTTGTCGGCATGATTTCCATTGCTAGTTGCAGTTGATGCAGTTGGTCCACCAAAAATGTCCGCAGTTGGTTTGACAGTCAGCTCACCAAAGAGGTCAGTCAACAGATTGCCACTAGCTGAAAGGCCATTTGTTGAGCTCGCCGAAGCGTCGATTCCAATAAGGTCGGTATTATGATCTTTATTGCTTGAACTTGGGGCCGCTCGAGAGTTGTCTGGCTGGTGTTGCTTGGCGTACAGCGCAGCCGCTCCGAGGTCAATCTTTTTCGGTTCGGCTCGCACTTTTGGCCGGAGAGCATTGTTTGATGCTTGTGGGGGCGGAGGCGGAGGTACCTTTCTCTGCTCCACTGTATTCTCGGCGACATTCGACTCAAAATCGGCT